TGGGACTGAGATTATCTGTTCTGTCTCTATAGTGGGGGTTGGTGATGCAATAAAAAGAGAGGTTGGATTCTGCTCCAATACAGCAGAGGAACAGCCTTTGCTTATTCCTAAGTACTTCTTGGGAATGACTCAAGATAATGCTGTAAGGGAAGACGAAGTTCTTGGTGATGGTGATAGGGAAAGAAGTAGGAAAGCTTTCTCAGGACTTAAAGGTTGTAAAAGCTGGGAAATAAGTTGTGGGAAATGGTGATTGTTCAGGTATTGGAAATAGCACATCATAAAGAGCAAGATAAGAGAAAGAGAGAAATAGGAGACAGGTGCCAAATATGAAAGACCCAGGACAGAGAAACAGATGAGAAGAGAGAACATTTCATTCTGGAAAAAAAAGAGTGAATGTCAGTGCAAATTCTGGTATATCTGTGCAATGTGGCAGTATTATGAAGTATAAAGATTGGGAATAGGCATCACTGCCCCAGGAAAGAGATGGAGACAGGGGATGGATATCTAAGAGAACAGGAGGGAGATAATATGGAAACAAAAAGCCTGGAGAGTAGAGATGTGCCGAGAAATACAATGAGCAGTGCCAGGAGATGACAACGGCAGAAGGTGACAATGAATGAGGAGCACTTCACCCCTCTAGAGATGGCCCTTGTCTTGGACTTCACGTCTGTGTGGATGTCACCCAGCTAGGTCGGGTTCCCAGAGGTTTTGTATGTCTGCTGTTAAAGTCCAGGCCTCTCAGGGCACCAAGCGTACTGTTTACACCAGGAGTGCCTCTGTGCCATGGTGGTACCAATCCCACATGGCTCGTTTCATGCTGGTAATTGGAAAGGCATCACACAACAACAGGCTGGTTGTTCATCCCCCTGCGGTCCCCAGAACTACGATCATCACGCTGAGAGCCAAAATGTCCCTCAAAATAAGGCAACCTTTGTCAGCACCAACAGATTAGAGTATGCAAAGACTTTACAGCCTAATAGACAGTATTGCCTTTGTCCTCTTTTCCTCCAAGAAGGCAGTAAACTACAAGCACTGGAGGATGTAATCCAAGTGCTAATAAATTATTGATATCTCCCTTCAGCTTTTTACTTACTAAAAGGGTATCAAAGCTCATTTTGTGAATGGTCCCGACAGATTCTCTTTTGCTATATCCACAATTTGATTCACAAATATTGCACTAAGTGTTAATATTGAAGCAATGCAGTGTTCTCTCTTTACAGATAATAAGCAAAAGATAATAGACATGTTTTGGATTACACAGATTCATAAATAGATACAATGAAGGAAATGCCACTTACTACTCCAATAGACATTTGATTTTGTAATATAAAAAAGACAGAACTCATTATTAACTAGGAATACACTTTTTTTTTAATATTAAAAGCCTGATTGAAAGCCTGTTGAAATCATTGTACTTGCTCCTTACAGATAGTCTACATAGTTCTTTGGCAGCACACACAAGTCATAGAACAGTGTGACTTAGTTTATATTTAGCAATAGCTCCTCTCTTCCAATATGCCTATTTGCACAAGTCAGCTAAAACTATCTGTATGGAAAATAGTCTTTCCATTACTGTCAGCTTTGGAGCAGTATGTGGCAGTTCCTTAACAGCATATATTAATTTATGCTATTTTTTGGAGCTGCACAGAAGTAGTTTGAAGCCCTCCTACTGCAATTTTCCTGGTAGGAGACTCCCCTGAACAAAAGGCTTAAATTTTCTCTTTCAAGGCTCAGTTTTTCTCTCTGCAAGTTTTGGTGGCCGGAAATGCTCAGGATCTTGATAGCTATTTCATCTTAAAGACAGACACCAGGTTTCCAGGTATATCTTAAAAATGGTACCAGATCTTTGCAAATTTAGCTCAAATGCCATCTCCCACTAAACAGCAAAAATTCTGCCTGCTGTAAGTGCAATGCCCCAGCCAAGCTCAGAGAAAGGATTATCAACATTTTAACAATGGCAGGGCACTGATCTTAAAGTACACAAACTGCAGTTCCTGACTGCACCGGTTTCTTCTTGCTCTGAATAGAGGTGGCTATGCTATGCATGTTGTCTCTGTTCCTTGCTGTCTGTTTAGAAAGACTGAGTGACCAGGCACAAAGCCCAGAAGAGAGAGCTAATTTTTGCAATATGGTATACATATTTTGCAAGCCAGCCTGCAAACTGCTTATCACGTTTCTGGTGCTATATACATAAATATTCATAATTAATCTGTGTTAGAATAGAGTAGAAAGCTCCTAACGAACAAAAATAGCCCCTTCAGGCATCTTATACCAGTGACACTGATCCTCTGCATTTCTGACATTAAAAAATGAGCTTCTTTGCATAGATTTTGCAGTACTCTCTGGAGTTCAAGCTTCCTTTTTTACCCTGTTCTTTCAAGTTGTGAAGACGACCTTGATAAGAGAGATTGATACCTTGAATCTGGAGCTAGAGAGGTGGAAATAAAGGCACCTGGTGAGAGATGACATTTCCAAAGCTTAAATCTCAGGGGTAGCAACCTTCATTTTCCCTTCTCCAGATCTCTTTCATCTCTAGGCTTTTTTCCCATGTTTTGGCTTCAGGTATCAGCAGAATTCTGACAGTATTGCAGGTGGGAAGACGTATACGCGTGTTCTTTTCAGGTCAAAAGCCTAAATTCAACTGTGGGCTACGTATGCTCAGAGACAACTTCATCTCTTATAGGTGGAAGGGCCAATTAGCCAGTCCTTGGGACTGCTTGCAGCTGTTAGCCAAGCAACAGTCAGAACTGGTTTAGATTAAATAAATCCCACTTTATTCAACATCAAAAACAGAGTGTCTGCAGTAATGAAAATAACTTCATCAAGTTGTTCAGGCCCCAAAGCCCAGTGGATATTAGATGTATTTATTAGATAAAGGTGACCATTCAGACTGGGATGGCAGACAAATCTGACAGGCTGAGCTCTGACAGGTCTTTGTTTTCTGTCCTTGTCTGACTCAGCTTTTCAGTTTGATGCTCTTATTCCTGGGCTGCTTGGCTTGCCAAGCTGACACCTTTCTGGTGCACAGCCTCTCCCTGCTGCCTGCAGAAATGGGGCCCCCAGCTTCAGAGAACTGTCAACCCTTTTCCTTACTCAACAGGGATGCTTCTTCACAGCTGTCTTGTGATACACCAAAGCACATTTTACTCTATCTCCCTTCATGTTGCCTTTAAATGTGGCTTTTTGACAGTCCCTACAAGTAGAAATTTGGCACAAATATAAAGTTCAGCCCTGATTTCTCAGTGCACAATTTTCTAGCTTGGCACATTTTCCCTCTAACTACAATACTTCATCATGCCCCCAGCACCTGTTTCATAGCATATATAAGGTCACTGAAACCACCTAGACAAACATTCACTAGCTGACCAAGCAGAACAGTTTAATATCTCTCTTCCCCTGTAGATCTTGGTGGATAAGTCATAGGCACTCCTTGCGCATTCTTTATGGCTCCTTTCTGTGTCCCAGATGTGACCTACTCCCTGCTGGTCTGCTGACTGTCTTATCCTCCAGAGATCATCGCCCATTGTACCACCTGCGGAAAGGAAATGGGGTATTTTAAATGTGCATTTTCATGTGGTTTATAAACCTGCATTGTATTGCCTTCCAAGGTGCATTTGACAGCTCCTCTACAGGGCTGGGAGAAGTAAAAGCCAGACTACTTTGTACATATGTATTGGGTGCAGCCAAAGAAATGCCATTCCTGTCATCAGGGGAGGACAAGGCACACGTATCTCTAACTACAGTGGTAGAAGCTGCAATGCAGTGTGAGCCAGAGACATGTGAGGCAAAGGGAGTTTGTCAATTGTCTTTTACGGACATCCTGCACCTCCAAAAATGGGTAGGTTTCTCCATCCGGCATCAGCCAAAACTTGTCCAATGCAATGAATATCCTAAAATTCAGATTTAGCAGAGCTCAACTTCTAGAAAATCCCAGCTTTGGGGTTTTTTCTCTATGCATTCACACACTAAGCATTATTCTCTGCTCTACAGTCCTTCTAACCAAGCTCTTACACAGACTGAGTGCCTTGAAACCAGAGCGGGGTTTTCCAGAGTAGCATGCCTGAAAAAGCAGCAACCATGTTGTGGCAGGAGTTGAGGTAAGAATATTAAAGTGAAAGTTGATGCTTCAAGATTGTTTGATTGGCTGTTTACAAGACTTTTATGAAGGATTTAAAAAATACGCTGCTCTAGGGCACAGAGAGAGAAACGGATCAAATTAGATGAGCTACACAAGAGTGTAATGAAAGATGAAGCAAACATGCCAAAGTAAGGTGGTGCAGTACACCAGTCCTGATCAGCAGGAGCGAAGATCATGACTGGATGCACTGAGCACAAGGTGCAGGCAGAAGCAAGAAATGTTGAGAGTGTAGGGAGTTTGCAGGAGGCTGCAATTGTAAGGGGAGACCTGTGCAGGAGACAGATGAAACCACAGGAGAGGCTGAGGCCGCAAGGAGGGTAGGAAGGTGCAGGAGCAGCTGGGTGCCTCCATTTCCTGTGCCAGCTACTCCTCTGGGAAAAAGGAGGTGAAGGTGGGCAGCAGGGCCGCGGTGCTGGAGCAGCCCCGGGGCTCCGTCCCGGCAGCGCCGTCCTCTGCCCCCGGTGCGCGCGCCCAGCGACCAGGGGGGAGAGAGGGGCATCCCCGAGCCGCGTCGGGCAAGTTTGTCCGGCTGCTCCGTGGGGGAGCGCTTCCCCAGGGCAGCCTGCCTCCTCCGCCGCCTTCTCCTTCTCCTGCTGCTGCTGCCGGGCCGCGTCCCGCCGCCAGCCCGGGCAAAATGCGGGTTCTGGGGAAAAGAGGGAAAAGTGGCTGGGGCTGCGCCGCGGGCGATGGGGGCGTTGAAGATGCGCTGGGAGGGGGTGGCCGGCGGCGGGGGCACATCCCTGAGGAGGCGGGGCGCACCCGCGGAGGGGGCAGCGAGGCTATCCCTGAGAAGGAGACAGGAGGGGACACCCCGGGAAGGGTAGGGGTTCGGAGGTCGTCTCTCGGGAAGGGGAGGTGCACGCCGGATCTCCCAGCCGCCCGCAGAGGCGCGTCAGGAGCCGCCGGGCTCTCGCCTGCCCACCTGGGGGGGCCGGGAGCGGCAGGGACACCCCCCACTCCGCCTCGTCTTTCTCTCCTCCCCTCCGCCGCCTCCTCCGTCCCTCTCTGCCCGCCTGCCTGGGATGGTGGAGGGAGTCCGGAGCACCCGGCAGGGCGGCCCTGGGCGACGGGGGCGGCTCGCCACGGCCACGGTGCGGGGCGCGGCCGCGGGGGGCTCCGCCGTCCCGGGGTCCGGCAGCCCCCGCCGCCACTGCCGGTGATGGCCAAGGATGTCCTCGGAGGGGGAAGCCGAGGCGGCTGCTGAGAGCGGGCCGGGAAGCACCCCCGCCCCGGGGCCCGCCGCCGCCGTGCGGGAGGAGGTGAGCGGCGGCGGGGGCGTCCGCCCCGGGCCGGGCCGGGAGGGACCGGGAGGGGCAAAAGCAGCCTTGCCGAGGGGTGCGGGGCGGTGGGGGCGTGGAGGAAACCGGGGAGCCGCGGCCGGAGGAAGGTGCCCCGACTGGGGGTGTTTGCGACGCGGGGAGAACCAAGGAGCGTAGCCACCGCCCGCCCGGCTACCTGCAGCCGCGGTGCGGAGCCGTGCCCCGCCGCGCCCTGCAGTGCCGGGGCCGCCCGCGGGACACCCGCGGCCGCGCCGAGCCCACCGCGCCGGCGGGGAGACCGCAGCCCCCCGGTCGCTGGGTGCGGGGTTTTACCGACGGGGCCCTGCGCTCAGCCGTGCGCTGCTGCCGGGCTCGGGCGGCCGCTGAGCCACCGGCCCTGCACCGGAACGATGCACTGGGGGGAAAGCGGGCCAGCCCAGTGGAAGTTTGGCTACATGAGCCCCGTGGCGTTTGGCCTAGGAGAGCCTACCGCTTCCCTGGGACCTGTGAAATGCAGTCAAGACGACTGCAGCTTTGCGAGGCACTAGTGGAAGTGGCCGGAGGGACATACTGAGCATAGGAAGGGGCTTGCAGTCTGGGGCTCTGTGGCTTTCAGGTGTTTTGGGGCAAAGGAGGAGGTCATGCCTCTCTTTTTCCCTTGGGGCCTAGGCACTTCTGTTACCTAATCTACAGTAGAAGGCAGTGGAGAAAATACAGCTTAGTATGTTTCTTCAAGTCATCTGTGAAGCACTTACTTTGGCCTTGCATAGCATAGAGAGGGAATGATGGATGTGTCTGAATGTTGACACAGAATCCTGAGCCACAAGGTATTGGCCAGACAGAACTGCAGAGCTGTGTGACAGTAGGTGACAATGCGTGCGCAGTCCTACACGCTCAGGACATCAAGCTGCCCTGTTTTAGAAATGCCTGGGATTTTCTTTTATGCCTAATGTAGCCTTTATTTCCAACAGTTTTGACAAGTCTGTCATTTACATTGTATAATTCATGTGCAAATCATGGAAGTCAGTGAAATTTCTTCGTAATATGGAGTTTAAAACAAATGTGCATGCTCCCAGGAGTGCAGAGAACGGCCTTAAAGCAGGCAGAGAAGACTGAAAACAAAAGTGAAAGCAGCCCTGGAACACTGTGTTATACAGTTAGTCTGCTCAAAGCTTTTGTTAACAGGTCCCATGGCTCATCAACAGTCTCATAATCCTATAGTCAAAATCCAGGATCCTCAACAAAGCCTATGTGACTCTGCAGTATACTTAGGCTAAAACCAAACAGCACCTTTTAAACCACCTTTACTTGAAAATTGACTTTACAGCTCAGGTTGAAAAACTGTCTTCCATAGGTGAAAATTAGGGTTTTCTCCTGTTTGATTGCTTTTTAAACACCTGCAACACAGTTCATCATGAAGAGCTGTGGCTGGATCCAGGATACAACTGCTGTTCCAGCAGTAGAGCTCCCCAGTGTAATTACAGCCCTGCAGAAGATCAATACATGGTTAATGCTGGAAGGGATTTTTTGATTTATTTGGTCTAGGACCAGGAGCTACTGAAGGCTTTCCAATATATTAAGTCCACCATGAAAACATCTAAGCCATTTCTAGACACTAAAGCACTTGATCTCTCTGGTAAGCACATTATATCTTGCTTCACTCATCCTGTTCTCAGTTTTTCTTCTGTACCAACACAAACATTTGCACATTTGAGTCTATATCTCAAACACCTGTAACAGTGATATCTTAACACTGCAGTCCTACAGTATTGGTCCTTTCCTCATGCTTTCCACATCACCATGTAAATAGCCTTTTTGGACCTGGACTTGCAGTTGCATGTAAGTGCCCAGTATTGGTATTAAATGGGCATTTCATGGGCTTCTCTGTTCAGCCTCGTCATTTATGGATTTCACTTAGATCAAATGCATGGACCTAAATGGTGACAATGACTGAAAATTGCCTTTGTTGGTGTCCTGGGGTAACAAATCAACATGAGACATAACCCTGAGCTATTAACAGAGAATGTGTCTGAAGTCTAAGTTTTTATTTTTGAAAGAAAGACAAGCCAAGTTGCAGCTGTGGAGCAGAAAGGAGCACGTCAGTTCAGTTACCTGTCATGGCCCTTGTCCTCCTCTGCCAAGGACCACAAGCCCTCAGATTACCTGCCAGTATTCTGACTCGAGTTTTTTCTATTGAGATATGGACTGCTCAAGCTGGATGACCTGAAATAGATGTGCTTTTGGTATTAGTGTAGAATTCTACCATCCCATGAACTCTTTTGAAAAGGAATCAATCCCCTTTCAGGGGAGGGAATGTAAAGGATGCATTTTTCCAAATGTTTCAGCAGTTATTGCTGTAGATTAATTCTCTGGACATATTTGCCTTTATTTTCCTCTTTGAAATAGCAGAACCTGCTGCTGTGTACTGCCCTGGTTAAGCAGTGGTCTGGCTATTTTTCTTGATATTACTGTGGCAGCCTCCACCTACACTGAAGATTTGATAGTGACTTTTCTGCATTTCTGCCAATTTACACCTCACTTGGGAAGTGACCTTAAATATTTAAATTTTTAAATCTTAATTGGAAATGAAGGTGTTGGGTTTTTTTCAGGAAAGCAAAGCCGGTGAGTACAAACATAATTTATTTGCTTCCAAAGCCAAGTAATCACTGTAGAAAGCTGAAAGCAGCAGCCACCTGACATTTTGAAATACGTATTTGTCTTGTTTGTACTGGCAGAGTCAAACAGCAGTTGTCCATGCCTGGTTTTATCTTCTCTTCCATATTTAAGAACTTTAACTGGGCATGACATAATGTAACCAGTTAATCCATTTAAATAAAAGGGAAAACCTCATGGGTCAATGTTCGTGAGACCCATGGTCATCGGCTCAAGGATGGAGATGTTACAGAAAAGAGAGGCCACTTAAAACTGCCTCATTTGCCTTTTACTGCCGGTGGGAAATGCAACAGGAGCTTATTTGAAAAGTGCTGTTCATGGTCACAACAGCACCAAGGGGGTGTCACAAGTTAAAAAAACATACAGAGTGCTTGTTTGCAGGCTACAGTTTTAGAGGCTGTCAGGTCAAAACATAGCTGGGACCTTTCCTCTTAAGTGTGCCACTGAAGAGACACCCAGTTCTCCAGCTTTTTTATCCCTTTCCCCCAACACTTATTTAATTTGTCAAGGCTTATTTTATGCCATTGAAAACACCAGGCATAAAGCCCTTAATAACTTAGACCAGTTAGTTTTAAATTGTCCCTGTCTATGGGCTGAGTTGTACACAGGTGGATGAGAGGTGGCAGAGGCAGCGAGGCAGACAACCTTTTCCGATTTATCAGGCCTGCTGTATGTGCCCCTTTCTCACCAGCAGATCTCCACAGTCTAATCAACTCTGCTCCCTTGCAGATCTGCAGGAGCCCATTTACACCCCACTGCCTCTGTGGCACTGTCCTCTTCCTTGAGAGTCTTGTCATTCCCAAGACTTCTGTGCTCAAGAGAAACAAGCCCAGGTGCAGGGGATGGAGAGAAGGGAGGGCACAGAGGCTGCGATGGAGGTTAATGTTCCCCACCACCTTTTAAGCAAAAGTTTGGAGGGACCATTGTGTATCAATCTCCAGTGAGGGGCTATTTCTATGTAAACCTTCCCCTTCAAGAGCTGCACGGGACACTCACCTAACAGGCACTGCCAGAGGAGGGCAGGAAATATGAGACATGATTCCTATGGAAAGCTTCACTTTTCCTTCCCTATAGCACTTCCAAACCTCATGCAAAAGACCTGCTCAGCTAACCCCCTGAATGATAACTCATGGTTTGCCTGGTGGAAGGCTGTCACCATCCCAAGTGAGTATGACTGACAAAACAGTTATTTTTTCAAGTCAGTGCATGATATTTCCCCTCTTGAGTGAAGGTCAAACAGAACAAGACCCTTTCTTCCCCTCCTGCCCTTGCTTTATTCATCAGACATAAACTAAGGAGTGCTCCTCATTCCTTGTTCCAGATGACTTCCCTTGTAAAGACAAAGGAAAAAGTGCAGCAGGAGTGGCATCAGAGGAACTGGAAAGCTTTTTTTCATGATCCTGCAGTTCCAGGCAGTATTTCCATTGCAGATTCTGTTGTAAGAATATCCATGCTGAAGCATCGCATCTTTTTTCTGCTTTTGTTCTTTTCATTGTCCCACTTTATCATCTAATCACATGTCTGTTCTTGGTGCCCTGGAGTTGGCTGTCTTCTCCACTTCACTTAGAAACTGTCAAGGGTTTTAAAAAATAGATAGGAAATATCAAATTAATGCATCTGAGCTTTGAAGGGCAGCCTTGGCTCCAGCTGTGTGGGCTTCTACAGGCAGAGTCTTCTGTCCTCTCCAAGAAAGAGTGCACCTTGCCACTGTGGCTGAGACTGAAGTGAGTTGGTCCTTCTGGCTGACTTTCCCAATCTTGCAAGTAAGGGAATTTTCTCAATAAAATGCTGAGCTGGAGCAACTGGGGAACTTGTGGAGTTCTGCCTATAACTGGAAGGTTATAAGGACAATTTAGGCAAATAGCTGTTAACTATGTAGATGTTGTCTCATGGGAAAGGGACAGACTAGGTAACTTGGTGGTAGTTCCCCTTCAGACCTGGTTCCTAATGCTGTTTTTTCAGGTGGACACAGAGTCACCTGATACCAGCAGAAAAGCAATGGGTCTGCACACTTTTTTGAGTGCCCAAATACTCTCCTTGTTCTCCCTTTCTCACTTCAGAGACCTCAGATGATGATCTCCCTCAAGAAAGAGAGTGTGTATACCAAGGATACTTTTCAGTCTGTGCAAATCATTGCAAAAAGTGAGGTAGGAGGTATCTTCTCCCTGGGAACGGAGCACTTTATTTCCTCTCATCTGTTTCTACGCCTTGGAAGAAAATAGCTCAAATCATTGCCAGTGACCAGGGACATGGTGGAAACAGAGAATAAAAGGAGTGAAATATCTTCAAGTGGTTCCATAATGAGTAGGGCTTGTTTCTAGGTGTGT